CAGGATAGTCTCGATCTCCTGACCTCGTGATCCACCCGCCTTGGCCTCCCAAAGTGCTGGGATTACAGGCTTGAGCCACCGCGCCCGGCCTTTTCTTTTTTTTTTAAACGGATTCTCGTTCTGTTGCCCAGGCTGGAGTGTAGTGGCGTGATCTCAGCTCATTGCAACCTCTGCCTCCCAGATTCAAGCAATTCTCCTGCCTCAGCCTCCCAAGTAGCTGAGATTATAGGTTACAGGCATATGCCACCATGCCTAGCTAATTTTTGTATTTTTGATAGAGACAGGGTTTCATCATGTTGCCCAGGCTGGTCTCAAACTCCTGACCTCAAGTGATCCACCTGCCTTGGCCTCCCAAAGGTGCTGGGATTATGGGCGTGAGCCACAGTGCCTGGCCAGCCAAAGATAGATTCTTGCTTCCAGCTTGTCAGCAGACTCAGGAGTGGGAGGGACAGGGAGAGCTGTTCTTAACTGGGTTGGACACTGGGCCCACCTTGGCCTCCCGCTTCCAGCAAGGCCCCCTCTGAATCCCATCCCAGCCACCAGCAGTCTCCCTCTCCTTACTAGGCTTGCCTTCCCTGGTTGGAACCTCGAATCTACTGCCCTCTCTAGCTCATCCTTTCCTCCCCTCAAGTATTGATTGTGCACCTACTGTGTGCTACATGCCTTGCCCTGTACTCCTCCTCCCTCCTGTGGGAAGGGTCAGCGGACACAGACCCACCTTATAGCGAGGAAACAAACCTGAAAATGATCAAATGGGAAGTTCCTGGGAGCAATAAAAGCTTTGAGCAGAATATTTTTTTTATTTTACTTTTATTTTATTTTATTTTATTTTATTTTATTTTATTTATTTTTGAGACTGAATCTTGCTCTGTTGCCCAGGCTGGAGTGTAGCGGTGCAATCTCAGCTCACTGCAACCTCCGCCTCCTGAGTTCAAGCGATTCTCATGCCTCAGCCTCCCAAGTTGCTGGGATTACAAGCATGCACCACCACGCCTGGCTAATTTTTGTATTTGTAGTACAGACAGGGTTTCACCATGTTGTCCAAGCTGGTCTCGAACCCCTGGCCTCAAGGGATCCACCTGCCTCGGCCTCCCAAAGTGTTGGGATTACAGGCATGAGCCACTACACCAGCCTGAGCAGAATTTAAATGGGGTGATAGGGCCAAACACAGTGACTCATGCCTATAATTCCAGGGCTTTGGGAGGCTGAGGTGGGAGGATCACCTGAGCCCAGGTGTTTGAGACCAGCCTGGGCAACATAGCAAGACCCTGTCTCTACAGAAAAAAATTAACCCAGTGGTGTGGTAGTGCCCACCCATGGTCCCAGCTACTTGGAAAGCTGAGGCAGGAGGATCACTTGAGCCCGGGAG